TTTTTTTTTTAATTTTATTTTGAAGTTCACAATTTTAAATATTTTAAGTATTGAATTGCCATTTAAAAAATTGATTAGGGTGTAAATAGGAAAGAGAAACAAGAACAATGAAAATTAAATAAGGATAGTGTTGGTGCAGAAAACCTTCAAGGCCTTCCTTGCTTAGATCTTCTCGTCCAATAAATCTGCAAAGCCTCGAGAGTGGCCCTTGGGGTAGACATTTTGCTGCTTAAGTCAGCAATAGTCTATACTTGGGGCCCTTTAAAGAGAACGAAGTGTATTAAAGAGAAATGCTTAAGGAAAAGTCCCATACCTTTGAGGGGTGTGAGGTATTTATAAATCCCTTGGGGTGCTTGACACGTGTTGCATTTCTATTGATCCCTTTGGAAGTATTTGAGTGTATATGAGCTCTATAGTAATTCATGCATGTGCTCCTTTATATTTGGACCTCATGGGCCTTCGTTATGTTTATGGGCTAGTTAGACTACTATCCCTACACTATTCCCCCTCCTGGAATCATTCACTTGTGAATGATTAATGTAGAAGATGAGTCTAGGTGGGGGTAGTTAATATAAAAATGTATGAAGTCATGTTTTTGGTTGTAATCAAGGTAAAAATGCATGACATAGAGTCATGTGTTTTGGGCCAGAGCCGAGGTAAAAATGCATGACACAAAGTCATGTGTTACAGTCATAGCCGAAGTAAAGATGCATGATCCGTAGTCATGTGTTTGGGGCCGGAGCCAAGGTACAAATGCATGACATAGAGTTATGTGTTTTGGGTCAGAGCCGAGGTAAAAATGCATGACACTGAGTCATGTGTTTTGGGCCATAGTTAAGGTAAAATGTATGACACGAAGTCATGTGTTATAGTCGTAGCTGAAGTAAAGATGCATGACCCATAGTCATGTGTTTTGGGTCGTAGCCGAGGTAAAAATGCATGACACGGAGTCATGTGTTATGGCCGTAGCCGAAGTAAAATGCATGACACGTAGTTATGTGTTACGGCCATAGCTAAAGTAAAATGCATGACTAGTAGTCAAGTCTTACGACCATAGCCGAAGTAAAATGCATGATAGTCATGTGTATGAATAGGCCATGAGGCCTTCACTCATCTTCTCCTCCCTTCGATCAACCAGGTCAACATAGAAACAGAGCTTTTTATTTGAGTTCCCACAGACGACACTGATGTTGCTGCAGAAAACCTTCAAGGCCTTCCTTGCTCAGATCTTCTCGTCCAATAAACTTGCAAAGCCCCGAGAGTGGCCCTTGGGGTAAACACTCCAATGCTTAAGTCAGCAATAGTCTATCCTTAGGGCTCTTTAGAGAGAACGGAGTGTATTAGAGAGAAATGCTTAAGGAAAAGTCCCGTTCCTTTGAGGGGTGTAGGGTATTTAGAAATCCCTTGGGAGTGCTTGACACATGTTGCATTTTTGTTGATCCCTTCGGATCTATTTGATTGTATATAAGTTTCATAGTAATTCATGCATGTGCTCTTTTATATTTGGATCTCATGGGTCTTCATTATGTTTATGGGCTAGTTAAATTACTATCCTTACAAGTAGATTTTTTTTTTTTTTTTTTGAAGAAGTGCAATGTTTAAGAAAGGAGAAAGGGGAAAGGGATTGCATCCAATCTATAACCATGGGGAGATGCAACTTTAATCAAACGGCTTATAATAATAGAGGTAGATTATTATTTTTTTTAATATGGGGAATTTGAGGAAAGAGAAGAATGTTTTTAAATAATTAATAAGAATAACATTTTTAATCACTCAAATTTAAAATTTAAAATTTAGTAATAAATTATTAGATCTATTAAGTTGGTTCAAATAAGAGTAGATTTTTTTTAACAGATTATAATTTTTGAAAGAAAAAAATTCAAACTCTAATCTTATGATTGGGCCATTGGGGTGCATCTTATGAACAAATATACATCTATTGGATCACGAAAATGAAGTGTAGATAAGAGTAGATTTGGGAAATGCAAAAACCATATTTTTAATCTAAGCAAAAGTAAAGATGTGACATTAAACTAAGAGGGTGCAGCGAATTGAAATAGCCCCACCGAGATTCCCATCTCCTCGTTTCTACCGAACTTAATCCTATCTTTATCCTCCCTCGGCGACAGTGCCAATAATTTATGTTCAAAGGGTAAAATTTTAAATTTTTTATATGTAATGTATTAATTTATAT